ACTCAAAGTGATGTGAGCTTCTCTGATGATTCATGAACTAGGAAAAACACCACGTGTCCTCCACCAAACACTGCGAGGCTTACCAGAGAGTGTGTGACTCTCACAGAAGTCAAACAATACTTGTTCTAATAGATCTTCACCGGGTCAGCAGCTTAAGTGGCATTCTCTCCCCTCTTGGCAATCTCTCCCTTCGTCTCAATTAGAGTCCAGGCATCAATCATGAAAAAGAGCCACAACACCACTGCCCACAGTGTAAATCCAGCAGATGTATTTATTAAAATTGCTTAAAAACATTTACAAAAACGCTGAGTATAAAATGCACAATAAAACTACAAAACCCAGAATTCTCAGCAATGTGTGCACACGCGCAGTGACATCATGGCTTCTGGCTCAGCCCAGCGCATTTCTTCAGATAGACATCATCTGAGACATGAAAGCCATGCCAAGCTGTTTCTCCGAAATACACCAGTCAATTACAGGTCAAAGGAAACCCTGGGACAGGAAGTGGAGACCAGTGATGAGCATATTGGAAAAGGGTTTTAGATGAGTACATTGTATACAATGCCTACGTAAGTAAAATCCACCACTAGAGATACCTAGAGGGGAAAATAGAGAATGCAAAATACAAAAATCCATTCCAATCCATTCCGACTTGTGGGAGACTTGATGCTTTGAACACTGTTACTACATGAATTTTGGATTTTTTGTTATTCATGTTTATTTATTATGATTTATTTTAGGTTTATTTACTTTGATAAGCGCTACGCTTGTTTATAATCAATTTATATAGTATATCCTATACTGCGTGCTGGCTGCTAGATTAGGTATTGCTATTTTTTTCCCTTCAGCACAGCTTTTTTTTTTTTATAATGAATATTTCTTTGTGGCTGATCACCTGGGCACTTACCTTCCATGGTGTCTACTCTTGAGACTGCATTATGGCCACTAGATGGTGCTCCCTGTCTCTCACATTAATCAATTGTGCCCTTGACTTTCACTTTTTTTTTCATACACTGACATATACTGAACTGATGTGTATTGACGACATCATTATACATCAGTATGTCCACATAAAAATGGAAAAGCTACACACCTATTCCAATACTAATCACTTACGAAACGGACATGGATGTATAGTAGTGGTCATCAGTATACATCTACACACCCATTGAAATGCATTACTGTCTATTTTCTACCCTGCAAAAATGAACAGACAGAACACCTGTGTGAATGGAGCCTTTAAAAAAATTTAAAACTCCCTACAACGTAATGCAGAACTAAAGTCCAAAATAAAAAAAAACTATGAGCAGGGAGGCCGTTTATTGGAGAAGAGACATTCGTGAAATTTCCTTGCTACTAAACATTCCACGGTCAACTGTTAGTGGTATAACAAAGTGGAAGCAACTGGGAACAACAGCAACTTGGCCACAATGTGGTAGGCCACGTAAATGACAGAGCACAGTTAGAGCATGCTGAAGCGCACAGTACGCAGAAGTCCCCAACTATCTGCAGAGTCAATAGCCAAAGACCTCCAAACTTCATGTGGCTTTCAGATTAGCACAACAACAGTGCATAGAGAGCTTCATGGAATGGGTTTCCATGGCCGAGCAGCTGCATCCAAGCCTTACATCACCAAGTGCAATGCAAAGCGTCGGATGCAGTGGTGTAAAGCACGCCGCCACTGGACTCTGTGAAGAATCATGCTTCTGAGTCTGGCAATCCGATGGACATGTCTGGGTTTGGGGGTTGCCAGGAGAACGGTACTTACCTGACTACATTGTGTAAAGTTTGGTGGAGGGGTATTATGGTGTGGGGTTGTTTTTCAGGGGTTGGGCTTGGCCCCTTAGTTCCAGTGAAGGGAACTCTTAAGGTGTCAGCATACCAAGACATTTTGGACAATTTCTTTCTCCCAACTTTGTGGGAAGATTTTGGGGATGGCCCCTTCCTGTTCCAACATGACTGCGCACCAGTGCACAAAGCAAGGTCCATAAAGACATGGAAGAGCGAGTTTGGGGTGGAAGTACTTGACTGGCCTGCACAGAGTCCTGACCTCAACCCAATAGAACACCTTTGTGATGAATTGGAGCAGAGACTGTGAGCCAGGCCTTCTCGTCCGACATCAGTGCCTGACCTCACAAATGCGCTTCTGGAAGAATGTTCAAACATTCCCATAGACACTCTCCTAAACCTTGTGGACAGCCTTCCCAGAAAAGCTGAAACTGTTATAGCTGCAAAGGGCGGGGCCAACTCAATATTGAACCCTATGGACTAAGACTAGGATACCATTAAAGATTAAAGTTCATGTGCATGTAAAGGCAGATATCGCAATACTTTTGGGAATATAGTGTATGTGTCCATATGTGGCACAGCTTTCTGTGTTGAGAGCCTGCTCACTGTGCATTCCCAGTGCAGTGATGAGTTGTCAATGATACCTGGCAGTTCTAATGATTGGGAGTCTTTAGGAAAGACTGCTTGATCATGTGACCACAACATGTTACAGCCAATCACAGTGGTGACATAACTGGTCGACCCTTCCCACTGCCTACAAACCCTATTAAAAGGATGCCAGGGCTGGGTAGGAAGGGGCTACGTTGGGCGATTGGGGTGTTTGGTGAAATCATGGCTCAACTGCCTATTTTACCATTCCCCGACTGCAAGCCCTTAGTGGAAGATGGGACTCTATTGCAATCTCTTTCGGCAATCTTTCAAGCAATACACACTCACCAGCCACTTGATTAGGTACACCTGTAAATTTGCTTGGTAACACAAACAAATTACTAATCAGTCAATCACATGGCAGCAACACAGTGCATTTAGCATGTAGATGTGGTGAAGACGGCTTGCTGAACTTCAAACCAAGCATCAGTATGGGGAAGAAAGGGAGATTTAAGTGACTTTGAATGCGGCATGGTTGTTGGTGCCAAATGGGCTGGTCTGAGTATTTCAAAAACTGCTGATCTACTGGGATTTTCACACACAACCATCTCTAGGGTTTACGAAACCCACCCTTTCATGTGGACAAAAATGCCTTGTTGATGTCAGGAGTGTGAGGAGAATGGGCAGACTGGTTGCTGCAAAATTCAGATGGTAGGGTCAGAATTGGGCATAAACAACATGAAAGCATGGATCCAGCCTGCACTGTGTCAATGATTCAGGCTGGTGGTGTAACGGTATAGGGGAATATTTTCTTGGCACTAGCATGGTGTACCTAATAAAGTGGCCGGTGAGTGTATGCTTAGATATCAGAGCAATAAGACAAAAAAATCTATTTGTATAATGATCACATCCACAAGTGTATTCATTGATGATACAATATCTTTTTTTATTATCCCCTCCATATGAAAGTTTTATTTGGGCAGCTATAGGCATGTGTTCTCTCATTGAAACAATCAGAAATTTGTGTTTGCTTTTGACATTTATGACCACTGAACAGTTCGTATCAGTACTCAAATCACATTGCCAAGGTCATAGAGAGTAATAGAAAAAGTGTCAGTCGATTCCCACCCCCATCTTAAATGAGATTCCAAATGTCTGTCCATGATCGAAAGTCTGCAAATGACAAAATTGTTGTAAATTGCATTGTGAGATATAAATCAGAAGATGCAACGCTACAGAAGGGGAACACTATAAATAAATGAATACATGTATAGATGTATAGATAAATAGATAAATGAATAAATAAATGAATAAAACAGTTCATATGATGATATCAAGGTGACTTCAAGTGCTCTCATCTATTTCATATCCTCCTGATAATAAGGTGCTGTGCGATATAGTGCTGAAGAAATGCACACTCACCAAAACGCACAGTTAAATGGGCGTTTGTAAATATAAATTTCCCTTGGGATCATCAGCTGGTCAGGATAGGGTCTGCAATGTGATAGCCTCCCTCCAGTACTCCTGGATATTATATTTGCCAATCCCCCCAGACGACGTGCGTGTGCACGAAACGCGTAGGAGGAGCCAGGAACGCCGTGACGTCACGCCGCCGGAGCATCGTGGAGCTCCGGCGGCCATCTTTAACATTGGACGGTCAGTCCACACATTCTCTTACACACTGCTGTTTATCATCTTTGTTTTACCTGAAATAAACCATTTGACCTACTACACTATGGAGATGTCTCTGTCTTGACTCCCTTGTGGAGTATCAATTCACAGCTACTCATCTCTCTGCTGGGAAAGGAACGTGTGTAAGCACTAAGGAGCAGTCCACAGGCTACCTTCCAGGGGATTACCCAGTAATATCCAGGAGTACTGGAGGGAGGCTATCACATTGCAGACCCTATCCTGACCAGCTGATGATCCCAAGGGAAATTTATATTTACAAACGCCCATTTAACTGTGCGTTTTGGTGAGTGCGCATTTCTTCAGCACTATATCGCACAGCACCTTATTATCAGGAGGATATGAAATAGATGAGAGCACTTGAAGTCACCTTGATATCATCATATGAACTGTTTTATTCATTTATTTATTCATTTATCTATTTATCTATACATCTATACATTTATTCATTTATTTATAGTGTTCCCCTTCTGTAGCGCTGCATCTTCTGATTTATATTGTTTTTTGGGGTTTATGGTTACCTGATGCATAGCTGCTACTTTGCATTTATAGGTGCGCTCGTATACATTTTCTTTATTATATGCATTGTGAGATATGTATGGCTGTCTTGAGGGAACGTAATTTTGCATAGATTTTCTTATGGGTTTGTCGGAATAACTAGACAGGCTTTATCATTCTTCTTTCTCAGATAACTTATCATACAAATTTCTGTGTGTAATTGTGGTAATTTTTTGGAATACTTTCGGATATGCTTATTGCGTTTGATCCCTCAGGAAATGCAGTCGGATACTTGGTCTGATAAATTAGCCTGTCGCACAGGACATAATTAGACTTATCTCAGACAAAAATTTACAAATGTTTCTATGTGCAAAGAGCTTTGGCAAAGACTGAATTTTGAATAATGAATTAAAGTGTTACTAAACCCAAGACCCTGCATTCACTTTATCTGGTCTCCCACAGTACACAGAACATGGAAATGCAATTATTTTAGTACATATAAACTGCTAAATACCTTTTATCATCAGCAGTTAAAGCAGTCTTGTGACTTCAGCAGAGCACTGGTTAAAGCTTGTAGGAGGAGTTTTCTTTCTGCTCTAGGAGAATGTGAAAGTCCTGACCTTCTGTCTGGACAGTGCTGATTTGCCCTGTGCTGATCACATGCACTCTTCCAAGGGGAAAAAAAAAAAAACCTCTCTAGCAATACACACAAAAAAACTGAGCATGTGCATGTGACCATGGATTCAGTCTGTAACAATAATTAATAAAATTGGCACATGAGAGAAAAGAAGAACTGGAAGTCCAAAATTGTAGTGGAGTAGTCCGTACCTTACAGTGTTCCAATGAGGAGTATAGTGTAATCTGCAACATTAGGAGGCAGCACCCTTAGAGTAAAGCTGAACTCTGTGCATGGAGAAGAAAAGGAGAGAGGGGCGCCAAACTAAGTGCAGTATTAAAAGGTTATTTTTATTAAGCAGTGTAACTGAGGTAACTCACTAGATAGCAATAGAGAAAAGGCATGTATCTCAGGATAGACGTTGTCCTTCAAAGGTCCCACAGGCTGGTTGAGAGGGCAGAATACCATCTAGGAGCCAAGGCAGCTGTGGGGACCTGGTCTCCCGGTTTCACACTGGTAGCGTCCAGCTTCCAACGCTACCAGCCTTGGCTCCTCCTTTTCTTCTCCATGCACAGGATTCAGTCTGTATCAGGTGGTCATTTCACCAAGAGGAGGGGCAGAGAAGTCAGGATCAAACAGCCTTTAACACAGTGCAGAGGATTAACCCCTTAGGTTCCACAGTGAGTATAACAAGCATGCTTTCCTGCATATACAGACTAATTTTACTGTTGTGGGTTTAGTAACACTAACTGTCAGGTTTAAACTTCTATAACGTATATTGTGACAGTGCTGCGCCTGGTCACATTGTCAGACCAGGTAAATGTTACACAAGGTTCTCACTGTTACAGGGTGAGGGGCTTCAGGATATCTGTTTGGAATGGAGAAAACTGGTTTTGCACTTTTCTCTGGAATTGGTAACTCCTGAATTGCGTTATGAAATACAGAGGCTTTGAAGAGTTTTGGGAAAGATGAAGCCTCTAACCTGGTGTCCATAGCTTACTGTAGACCAGTAGCCTGAGTGGGCAGGTGTGCACAGTCTTTTTAAGCAAGGGGCTGGTGTTAGAGCTGATCTAAAAGTAGCCCAAAAGCCCTGAAAAGGTATTTTCCCAGCTGGATTGGACTTAATGACCAGCACTACACTTGAGTGACACCCCCCATGATACCACACTATATATTTCTTCATTTGCCAATATGAATTACCCAACTTTGTTTCTAGTTTACTTAGAGATACATTTAGGCTATGTTCACACTAACCTTCATGGTAAAACACAGCGGCTAGTGTCAGTGTTGGCTAGAATGCAGCTGCTCCTGCTGCTGTCTCTGAGCCAATGAGGTGGGAGAGAGGCGAGGGAGTCGTAGCTCTTGTGTACTTTGCTGGATTGAGATTGGGCTCAGGTATGGGGGGGGGGGGGGGGGGCTGCACACATAGAATACATGAAGGTAATGAAAAACCTTCAGCCTTTAAAACCTTTTTAAAGTGATCTGTCAGCACAGGGTCACTTGTATACAAAAGCTTACCGGATAACAAGAGAGGCAATATACTTACCTCTAAGATGGCACATGTTTTTAAACTTTCCATTTTGCTGCTTTCCAGTTCCTGCTGGTATGATATTCCACAATTCTGGTATTGTAAAATACCTGTGAGTACAAGCTGGCAAGAAGAACCACAGTGCATGGCTGGGGGAAACAGGATTTCCACCTGAAGGGCCGAATTCTTGCATTAATTGGAGAGCAGCAAAGGGCATCTTAGGACATTGGTTCCTGGAAAGATAACTATTCACGGATCTTTTAGCAGGTACAAGGGACCATGTGCTGGCAGTTATTTTTAAGATTTATACACATACATTTGTAATTTTTCCATAGGTACACTTTAATATTCGTACTTCACAGTGGCTGGATGAATGCTGTAACTTTCATATAGCATTTTTTTTATAAATAGACCCCAATTTTTTCCTTTTGATTTTGTTAGCACGTTTTTTTCTAATTTTCTTCCAGTGTGATTAAACAGAAGTAGTATATGCAGCAGAGGTCCATGTCTTGAATACTGCTCAGAACCTTCATAGTATTACATTCCTGATGGAGGAAAGGGTAATAAAAATGTGAATAAGTGCAAATATTGCCTATAGCAACTTGTTAGATACTAGTCGGGGTTTTTCCAGTTTAGGGTATAAACTTAAGGCAAGCCTCATTATTGCTGTGCTCAGCATCCCAGTACTCTTTAATGTATTCATTTTTATAGATGGGTCAGAAATTGAACGCTGCAATTATTTCAGCACTGTGTTATTTTGGAATGCTTGATCATGCAGCTTCCTACTGAATACTGAATAAAAGCATATTTTTAAAGGCAAAGTTCCAGGTTCTTTTGCTATGCTCACCTCCCACGCCCTGCTAATATTCTCTTACCTGTGCTACCCTGCCACCTTGTTCACCTGCCTGATCCTTGAGTGATAACCCCTGTGTATACTCTATCTCAGGTTGCATTGGAGCTTAAAACCTTCCACTATGTGCACGTGTTTTAAGCATGCAACCCTGGAAGTAGAGGAGAAACTTGCACATTTGCTCATACCCCGATATTCCTAAAAGTTCTGGAGGGCAAATAGAGAGGGGAGAATGACAAAGGTATCAGAGCAATCGGGGTGTCTTATCAAGAGAATCTGTCACTTTTCTATGTTGTGTCCTTTAGGCATTCGTCCCTAAAGCATAGGGCCCTAAATATGAGTACAACTTGGCACAGCGTTCAGCCCTGTCCATCCATAGCATATTTCAGCCTGCCATAGGCTTTGGCAGGCTGCAGACAGTGGAGCTAGATGCTGCACCTGTGCCTCCCTGACGCACTAAAACGCAGGGATTGAAAGCACAGGGCCTAGGCGCGTCGTGTATACAAAGGTTCCTGTTTTGAAAGAAAACAAAACAAAGCTGCTATTTTGCTAAGTGATATCAACAAATAGAATGTGGATTAGGAACAGTTTATTGCATTGATTTTTATTGCAGGTAAAATAGAGGCTGATGGTGATAAATAACACAGCCTCCCTTGTTCTCTGTTCCGGTCATATTGATTATCAGTCAAAAACATGATTTATTTATGAAGCACATGACCTCAATTTTAGAACTCTCAATGGTAATCTGTTAGACTAGTTGGTTGTCTAATGAATAAGATCAATAGAAAAGTCTGAGCTGGGAGTATTACATGGAAAATGTCTGATTCAGAATCCTAGTATTTACCTACCAAGTAAATCGCTTCCAAGAACGAGTTTATATGAGGTGTACATAGTTCTCAGGATCACTGTGCCCCAGAGCTTTTAACTACTGGTAATCCATGAGACAGAGATCAATGGATCCAAGATGAAGGGAAAGTATAGTTCACTTTCAGTAAGTACATCATTTTAGTTATTATATGCAGTATATACTTTAAAGTGTATTTCCACCTATATAGGCAATTGAGACACCCCCTCCTCCTCATATGTGTTCTCGCTCACAAAACCTAAACATATTTAAGAAAAATATGTTTTCATTGTTTTTTTGGATCAGATTTATGCTTAGGATCCTATAAGCAGCTTATATTGTTCAGAATACTTTCAACCTTCAATTAGTGCACATGTTTTAGGGAGTTTTTTTATGTGCATTAACATACAATGTACTACCCAAACCTTTAGATATTTAATTCTTTGTTAGGACAAAACTGTATGCACATCTAGTTTGCAGCTAATAATGAGATCTTCCAGCACAGTACAGACAGGGTTAATTATGATAAACCCAACTTCTCAGTCCTCTCCTCAACACTAGGTAAAATATTTGAACAAGTAAAAAGAAAGCAAAAAGGTTAGTAGCATTTTAAATATAAAATAGATATTATTCCACAATCTAGCAAGCTGCTCATCATTATAAGAATCCAATCCTGGTTAAAGGTAAGTATTTCAGAACAATTTATGATCAACATGCATGTTCTGATGATCTGGATGTGCATGTTTATGGAAAAAATCTTTCAACACTTAAATCCTACTTCTACAGTACATCTGCAGGTATCCTTAAGCTGACTATACACTGATCAAAATTCAGACAGTCAGAAAAGGGAGTGGCTGAAATTTGATTGTGTGTGGCTTTTCCACACTTGACAGAAATCAATTATGTAATAGAATTCTGTAGAAGGGACATGTAGGCAAATTTTCCAGTGATTGGCAGTTGCAGCCAATCAGCTGCAGCCAATAATCGCTGTATCCTGACAATATCAAAATACAGTGTCCTGGTGGGAGGGGATTCCTCTATCCACCTCTTTTGTGTTACTGGAAGAATCAGTTTGTTGGGGTTTTTTTTAAACTAACTGCATATGGCCAGCTTTATACTGGCTCTCGCTGTAAGATAAAATCACGTAATAGAACATTGTATTTCGCCGTATTTCGCCGTTTTTCATCCCCTTTAATGTAAAGAGAAATAATTCCACATTATCTCTCAATGCAAAAGTATATTTCTGTGAATTCATTGTTTGGTACAAAATTAAAATTGTATAGGATAGGAAGGTTTGAAACATTTCTAGATCTTCAGTAGATTATTATAAATCCAGATAAAAAGTGACAGCTTGCCAGGTGGCACCCTTTGATCAGGCAGGGAGATGCTCTTATCTTGATAAGACACACTTCTTATTCAACAGCTTAAAAGGCCAAACAACTCATTAATTTTAGCAGGCAGCTGGGACCCTTGACGAAAATTAATTAAAAAACTGCCTCTGTTAACGCTTTGTAAACCAGAAAACAATAGGATTACTTTTTTCTTTGCATTTCAAAATGTTTTTGTTTTTTTTGTGGTAGAACATTTTTTTTGTTTTGTTTAGTGTTTTGTATTTATGTAAAATAATTATTGTTATATAATAATTAGTAATTGATCCTGATTAAGGGCAACGGCTTTGTTTCTCAGGCCTACTCTTGAGCCCCACCAACAGTTCACATCCACAGAGGGGAGGTATGCTAACCATACATGGCTATATTTTTCCCGTTCAGCCCTCTGGGAGAACAAGAAAAATCAATAGATTTCTCCTTCCACACTGAACATCATGGTTGGAGGAATCTGCACTGCCAGCTATTATATTTAAAGTGTCACTAAACCCACATAAAAATCCTATCAATAAATTCTGTATTAAATGTTGTTCGTTTCCTGTATTCTGCATAAATCCTGGTTGATCCTGCTGTTCCCTATCTCCCCATTCTGTCCATGTCCACAATGCAGTTGGGGACTTTGCAGAGCAGTGTTGGCAACTTTGCACATGCTCAATTTTCAGTGAGTTTCCATACTGAATATTTCCTCCATATCACACCAGAGCAGCACATGTGACTATAGAGTCACACAATGTGGGTGTATACACAGTGGTAAATGACAGCCCACTCCCTCCCTCCTCCTCTATGCCCACTAACCACCTAAACACAATAGGGGTGGTATATTACATCTTGATTGATGGAGGCTTTACCTCCCTGTTATTCTAATACACAGACTGGAGGGGTGTGACACAGCCTGTGACTGGCAAAAACTCCAACCACACTATGTAATTGCCAAAAAAAAATAATAAAGATTTGATTTTGAATATATACAGTATTTGTATGACGATTTTAAACAGTTTAGTGCTATTTTTCTCTTTGTATTCCAAAGGCTGTTGTTTTTGTTTTGAACTTGTGCTCCTCCTGCCACCGATTCCTTGCAGACAGGCTGGAAAAAAGCTGGGTCATGTGACAGCTGTATATTGTTTAGGAAAAAT